GGGCCGGTGGCGGGGCGGGGGCAGTGGCGTGGCCGGCCGCTTGCTTGACCTGCTGGGGCAGTTCCTAGCTCGTGTACAGCAGCCTGGCTGGGCGGGGAGAGCAGGGGCTGGGGGCAATTTGGACGGGGCGGGCGGTGAGGGTGGGGCGGGTGCCAGCTGGGGCTCTGCCCCCTCGGGTGGCACGAGGTGGCATCACTGGACAGCTGCTGGCGGCTCTTGGGCAACTTCTGCAGCAAGAGTGGGGGCCCAGGTTCCCAGGGATAATGTCTACATGGCACCTGACGCCCACCATGGCCAGGGATGATGCGAGCTGATTTGCATCCTCCAGGTGCCACTAGATCAGAGCCCTCTGCTTTGCTTGCCAGCCGGGTGCCTGAATTGGTGCGCGTGCATACAGGGAAACGCCGAATAAATACCGAGTTGTTGGGTGGGGCTGGTGCAATTGGTCAGGGTGGGTTAATAGAGGGGTGAATAAGTGGGCCAGCCAATCCAGATGACTGGCATGTTGGCCAGTTTCTTTGGCCATGCTGAAATAGTGTATAGGGCTGGGGTGGAGTTTCTTGTATTTTGGCCATGCTGAAATAGTGTATAGGGCTGGGGGGGAGTTTCTTGTACTCGGTTTTTAAGAGACTGCATTTGGGATCCCTCCTCTTGGCATCAGAAGCTGGCTGTGGATGGCAGATGGAGGGTGTTTCCAAGTAAGCAACTAGGGCAGGAGCAGAATTAAATGGTGCTGTTGGATCTGGGCATATAAAGGTATTGTGCATGGCTGACAAAGAAGCAGGAAGTCCTGTGTGTGAGTGGATGGGTGTACTTAGTGCAGACTCTCCTTTTGGTCACTGTAGCACGTTGTTGATGCACTTGGATTAAGTAGTACATTGGGGCTTTTTTAATGATTTGGTTTCGCCTCTGGGATTAGCAGCCAATGAAGTAGCTGTTGATTTATTCCGTTTGCTTTTTAACAAAGGTTTAAGAAGTCCAGGAATCTTTGTGAATGTTTCAGCGTCACTGACCAGCCTTGCAATGTGTTTCTTTTCAGAAGAACTCCTGCAAACTGTCAGTCTCATTGCAGCTCAGGATCTTACCCATCTCTTGAGTCACACACAGCATCCAAGCCTTCAGGCTGTGACGGTCCTGAGAGCTGCCTAGAGCAGGAGCATAACACTGGCTTGAAGCTGAGGGGAGCAGGATGTCTCAAGAGAATCTTTTGAGCCTGGATGAGGGAGCCCTCCGGAAACTGGTGAGTCTCTCCCTCCTGAGAATCAGTCTTGTGTGACCGTGAGCATGTTTCCCAGAATAGAGCTTGTCAGTAGATCCCTAACTTCAACTGTCACCTTCTAGCAGAGTAATATCCCTCCAGAAGGAACATACTTGATTCAAACTCACCTTCCTGCTTTTGGTTTTTAGTTGATAAAGGGACAACAGCAGCCCAGGGAAGTAACTGACAGCTGTAGCCACGTGGGTGTTTGAGACTCAGTGTGAGGGTTTTACCTCTTGGGGTAGGACACAGAAACGCTCTGGGCAGAACAAATATACAACTTAGAGCTGTGGACAGGGTACAAGAATAAGGTGCTGCCTCTGGGGTTTGTGGCTGTATTCCTGCCTGCACTGTAATGGCTACTGCTGTCTTGGGGCACCTGGACCCAGCCTACTTTGGTGCAATGAAGGTTAGTATAGATAGGCCTCTTTTTGAGGCTACCATGTTTGCCCAAATCCAGGACAATTTAAAATGACAGTCAATGCTTACCTTCTATTTATCTATTTACCTCGCACTATTTACCTTCTATTTGATACAATTTTCCATGTATAGAATCTAAATTGGAGGCTTGTCTTAAATATGTCCCCCCAACTGCTGTAGTGGGGAGAGCAGTGGCAGCTGATTCTCCTTCCTACCTGTTTTCCATACTTGTGCCTGCCACACTGCTGTCTGTCCCCTCTGCCTCCCTGGACACTTACTCCTCCTGCCTCTGCTTGCCCTATGCAGCTCTGGCTCTGGCCCCTGGCTAACTCATGGCCACAGCAGTTCCTCTGTGTACTGTGCACTGTCCCCTCCGCTGCCCTGCCCTTCTCTACACCGTGCAGCATCTCCTTTGTTTCCCCATGCACCTGCCCTGCCCTGCTCACTGTCCAGTGCCCCCTTGTGCTGCCCCCCCTACTCACCTTGGTGTCCCCTGCACAAGCCCCCCTCGCGCTCTGCCCCCAAGCACTGTGCAGTGTCCACCGTACTCCCCACCGCACACCATGTGGTAGCCCCTGCATCCCCTCCATACCATGTAGTGTCCCCTGCACCTCACATCCCCTCCAATCACTCTTTGGTGTCCCTCTCACCTCTCCATGCACAGTGCAGTGTGCCCCACACTTCTGCATCACTCTCCTCCCTGCACTTATCCTGTCTACTCAATGTGCAGTGTCCACTGTGCTCTCTCTTTGTTCTCCCCCACCTGTGCATTGTGTAGTATCCCCTGTGCTCCCCCCTGCCCCTCTGTGCACTGTATAGTGTTATCCTTCCCCCCCACCCCACACACACACA